GCTTGACAGGAGCTGCGACGGGGTCAGCTGGGAGCTGCTGCGAGGGCTGCAGCACCACGGCAGGGTCTACCTCTGGTTCAGCTGTTCCGACACGAGACTCTCGATGTGCAGCCTGCAGCCTGCGACCCTGAACGCGTTGAAGGAGCGAGGAGGAAGATTTCAACGAGCTCTAGAGCCCCTGAGAGTAGTCGAGGTGCAGGCAAGAGCTAGGAGTGTGTTCCTGTACCTGGACTTTGCTCTCTGTGATAGAGACAAGCGGAAGTTCGGATCGAAGGAGTCCTTGTGCAGAAGCCTGTGCTTCGACCTCTTCAGCCTCTTCAACCTGCATCCACGTCATTTCGTGATTCAATCGATCTCTTCCACTTGGAACCGCGTCCTGTTGGAGTTCTTGCCGGAGAAGCAGCAAAGACGAGTCTTCCTGAGAGCACAACACGTTCGACGAGTGATAGGAGGTAACTCAGTCTCATTGCTCAACACTCTAGTGCTCAAACATGCTGTTACTGCTCTGCCTCATCACTCCCACGTGCCCCAACCTGTTTGTATCAACCATCCCAATCATTTCTCCTACTCCGTTTCTTTCATGGGTGAGGAGTTCCAAGAAGAGCGAATCTTTCACGAGAGATACCTCGACCCGTGTCTGCAAGTTGTCTGCTCACAGAGAAACGTTTCCTTCAACATGGACACTCGCGATCTTTGCAACTCGATAGGATCAGCTTCAAGTCAAAAACATCTGCCGCTTCCTCAAGACGTGATGCAAGAAGAATCTTGTCGATGTGTCGAGGAGTTGTCGAGCAGAAAAAAGGTAAGATCAGAGTCGAGGTGTTGTTTGTCTGACTTGGATCAGGTGTGTTGTTTCATGTCTAAAGCAGACTTGTGCGCTTTTGAAATTGGAAGTGAAGAAACGACGTTGCGCGAGAGCTTCAAGGATCTGACGATGATGCTGGGAGGACTCGAAGGTCATGTGCTGGCAGTGAGAAGCGAAGAGACGCTTGAAGGCAATGAAGAGAAGATCTTCTCCTCTCACTTGGAACCCTCGCAAGCTGAGAGCTCTAGAGCTCGCCACGTGCTGTACAGACGCTCCCAGCGAGGGACCATTGGAAGAGCCCAGCAAAACCCCCAGCTGCTCGAGAGCCTCTCCGAGTTCATAGAACAAGAGTCAAGGAACGTCGAAGACCTTCAGCTGCTGCTGCAGGTCGAGCCAGACTACAAGGAGCTGTGTGACATGATCAGCGAAAAGTTGGAATCTGCGAAGTTACAGCAGCAGGAGATGGCAATAAAACAGCAGGAGGAGCAAGAGCCGATCACTCTGAAGATTGAGAACAGCATGACTGAGCTTGCTCAACGCTTCAAGGATTTTGTTGAGTTGTGCGAACCTGTCATGGGCAAGTGTTATGTGCCGCATTGTGCACTTGCTGAGATGGAAGTTGAGAATCGTTACATGCTGTCGACCTCAAGGAAGGCTCTAGAGCTGATGGACCAGCCGAGATACAAAGTTGTTCATGACATCTTGAAGTACATCAACTCTATGGAGTGTAAGGAGAAATCGTTGATCGTCATCAAAGGCATGCGAGGCTGCGGCATCACTACCATCCTCTCACACCTGGCCAATCATCTCATGTCAGACAAGGGGCTTCGGAGCCAAGACTTGTCTGTTGTTTACGTACATCAGCTTGACTACGAGGACTCTTTCCTGTTCTATCTCATGCTGCTGCAACTTGAGATGAAGTCGTTGCGGACTCAGCCCAGCTCATTTTGTTCAGCAACGATCATATCTGAACTTCTAGCAGCAATTCTCAGCGCTCTCAGGAGAGGAACAAACATTTCTGTGGTAGCAGACGTCGAGAGAGATTCGTTTCGAGTCAAACTCTTCCAGGTTGTCAACCAGGCCAAGCAAGTGATCCAGCAGGAGCAGCTGCCGACGAGGCTGACCGTCCTCTTGGGTGTCCGAGAGAAGGAAGCTGATCCTGAATCTCCTCAAGGAGCCAGCAAAGTCTTCCCGGTCCCCTCGCTCTCCGCCCCTGAAGTCGCTGCTTTCATAGACCTGCACGTGCCCGAGGACTTGAGCGAGGACAGGAAGGGGATACAAGAGTGGGCTTGCAAGATGGAGAAGGCAGGCAATCCCTCCCACCTTCGCTTCTACCTCGCGCACGCGCTGCTGTCCCTGCAATGCGGCAAGAAGATCTCAGACATGCCGCCGACCCGGAAGCTGCAGGGGCTGTGGGTCAAGCACATGATCCCCTTGCTCGCTCATACCGTTGAGACGCATCCTGTCGTGATAGCAGCTGTCTTCCGCGTCCTCGTCGCATGCTCTCCGTGAGCTCCCACTTCCTTGTTGACTCGCCCTGACTAACTTGCAACAGGCAAACCCTCAGCCTTCACTCGCTCACTCACCTGACCCGGCTCGAGCTCCCTCCCTTGCTCGAGCTCCAAGTCACTCACTCTCGCCTCCTCTCCCTTGTGACTCTCCTGGCCCCGCTGCTCAGGAGCTCCTTCTGCCTCAACGGTCTGATCAGCCTCGACCATGCGAGCATGTACGACATCAGCCTGCTGTCCAAGTTTGCCCAGCACAAGGACGTTGAGAGGTACTACAAGCGCATCGCAGCCTCTCTGAGCGAGGAGAGGAGATGGCATGGCGGGAGTTCGAACGTGTCAGCACTGTCGCACTACAAGATCATGTTTCATCTCCAAGTGCTCTACCCAATGAGACTGGCCTTGCTAGAGGAGGACAGCGACAAATTCATCACTAGATCAGCAGTCTTTGATGAATATCACAACAAGTACAAACCTCAGCAGCCTGTCTTGGAGGAAAGATCGATGAAGTGGACAAGGGAAGATGTCACCTTCTCAGCTCTGATTGATTGTTATGAAGCTCTAGTCAACATCTCTGACGACGTCTCTTCGCTGTCTGACGACAGAGTATGGCGCAAGTTTTGTGAGGTACTGAAGGTTATCAGGTTGATGAGCAAACTTTGTGATACTCTTCTGCAGTTGAACGACGTCTTGGCCCAACTGGAGCGAGAAGACATACAAGTTCAGCTAACACTCTTCTCCACCATCGAGACGTTGAGCTCTGGCTCTGCGGATTCCAACAGGAGCAGACTGATCGATACTTTCTCCAACACCAAGTTCCTGACAGATTTGCGCGAGGAGATGATGGAGAAATGTTGGATCAGGACTCTCAACGCCTTTGAAGAGTATAAGAAACATGTCGACAAAGAATTTTCCTTGACAGCAATCGAGCGAGAGATAGAAATGCACAAGTCCTCGGTAATCTTATTTTATGATGACTCGCGTCTGACTGGTGTACAACAGCTTCTGACCTCGTTCAGGACAGCAAATAGGTGGAGATTGGAGCATGTTGCCTTGGACAAGCTGTGTCAGGACTTGTGGGACTGGGTCGGGAACGTGAGCGAAGAGCTTCTGGCTCTAGCACGCGCAAGAGACTCTCAGCTGTTCCACCGCGCCTTGTCCAATGCTCGTTCGTGCTTCGAGGCCAAGAACGTGCTCGGGCTGGAGGAGGAGCTGGGAATCATGGCTGCCTGCCGGTGCTGGGAGGAAGGAAGGTGCGAGGACAAGGAAGAAGTCGCTGCCCGTCTGCAGGAATATCGAGAGCTGGTGCGGTCCAGCCATGAGCAGAACACTTGTGCTGGGAGATGTTTTGCTTTCGGGCCAGGGCTGCACGGCGGGTACGTGGGAGTGCCCAACAAGATTGTGGTGCAGGCATGTGACGAGGAGGGGAAGAAGAGACGAACTGGCGGAGACTCGTGGAAGGTGACGATCAGTGGACCCTCTGCTGATGTTGTGAGCACCTGCGAGGACAAGAAGGATGGGACGTATGAGATCACCCTGATCCCTCTCGAGATCGGCAAGCATACCATCTCCATCTCGCTCGTCGAGGCCTCGGAACCGACTGAAATCTCTTCTTCTCCCATGGTGACGTACTATTCCAAGAACAGCGCGGTCAAGACAAGTGCCGGAGGGTTGAAGAGCTCGTTGAAGGAGAGCGAGAACTTGACATTCGCTAACATCGGTCAGTACCTCCTCCTGGTCAACAAGACCAGGCAGCAAGCCATGGTGACAACAGAGTCGAGGATCGCAACGACAGGATTCTTGACCGCAGAGATTCTAGGGGATTACTTTGAACTTTCAGACGTGGAGCAGGTCCTGCCGCTCTCAGACAAGCACGCCGTCTGCGTGATGAGCTCCTTTCTCCGGAAGCGCGACGACTCTGCCAACGTCGTGTTCGTCCTCGAGCTCAAAGGAGAGACCAAGGTCGGGAAGCAGGACGAGAGCTTCCTCATCTTGAGCAACAAGACCTTCCTCGGTGAGTCCAACATCCCTCAGCATGTCCGCCCGACACCCGATGGCTGGGGGTGGAGCTCCAGGTCCTGCAAGCAGAAGTGGCAGCCGCCAGCCGAGCTGGACAAGGAGCTGGGGGAGATGAAAGACAACGTGCTGGCAGGCTGGTATGAAGCGTACGAACCCTCAAACCCTACACGCCTCCCGTCCCGATCGGGTTCAGAGTATGTCGTCAGGCCCAGGTACGAGAACTTTGCTGAGCCAGTTCTGCTCGCGAGCATCCACAAGGACGTGCAGAAAGAAAACCTGCTGGTCTTTGCGCTCTTGAACTTCGTGCCGTACGCCAACACGTGGACGATGCGGCAGAGTGTCACGTTGCAGCAAGACAAGTTTGTGATCTTCGGAGGCTGCGACGACCTTGACGTCTGTCTTGCTGGGCTGAAGCCGCTGCACAAGTCGGACTCAGATATGTCTCTGCGCACCAACAAGGTGGACGTGAAGTTTCAGAAGCTGCAGACGAGGGGAAAGGCTCCTTGCCAGCGCACTGCCTTCATACTCTGCCGTCATGACAACTACATCTTCGTGTGCGGGGGGATGGACGTGCAGGAGAATGCTCTGAGAGATGTGTTTGTGCTGAATGCAAGCTCAGGGGACTGGCAAGAGGTGCTCATCTTGCCTCAAGCTCAACACATCATCTCGACCTTCTGCTTCGGTCAAGAGTTCTACTTGTTGGAGGCGGACAACCGCGACTTGCAGTCTGTGGACGTTGACTTCCTCCTCAACACAAGCAGCAGCTCGAAGTTGTCGACGGCCCTGACGCTCAAGCTGGACTGGCTGACAGACACAATGGAGACGCAAGTGAGAGAGCTGACGCTCAAGGAGAGGACGCCGAACCTGCTCAAGCTCATGCGAGCCTCCTCCACCGTCCTCATCGACGACGCTCTCTCGGAGATTGACTTCACCCTCAACTGCTTTGCAGACGCGTCCTCGGATGACTTGAGCTTCCAGCAGCTGTTGCAACGGCAGCAGCAGGTGCGGTCGCTGCGAGAGGTCATAGTGGACATGGCGACACGAGCCAGGGAGGCAGTGAGCGCTCAATCCGTTCAGCTGGACTCGGACAGCGAGATGATGAACATGTGGGTGGGCGTGAGCTGGGAAGTAGCTTGACACGTGTGCCAGGCTGATTCCCTTTGAGATTGCCATCAGTAAGCTGTCGCTGGACGAAGGTGACGGGAGGCGAGAGGAGATGCGGAGGCTAAAGTGACCGCAGGAGGAGTCCAGCTGATGAAGACGAAGCTGAAGAACTACAAGGAGGAGTTGATAGACATAAAGGCGAAGAGCGAGGAGATCCAAGAGATCCATAGCTTCTTCTCTCTCAACGCGATGGACCCAGGTAGAGACGTCATGTTCGATTGACACGAGGTAAGATGGGAGCAGCGATATCGGAGAAGCTGCGAGAGATTTCCAAGCACTTGCTCGAGTTGTCCAACATCGTAGCAACCTGCGAAGACTGGGAGAGACGTCTTGAGGTAGTACAGGCAGCTCCTGGAGAGACACTTGACAGGAGGCGGCAGGTTCCTTTCGACAGGGTGGAGGTAGGGGGGCTGAGCGAGCTAGAGGGTTTGATAGAGGGACTGAGAGAGAGAAAGGAACAGGCTGAGGTGATTCAGATGTCGAAGAGAAGAGACTCGTGTATGATCGCTGCTCTTACAGAACTCCACTGTGTCCTCCTACATGCTCAGCTTCCTGCAAGATTGTTCGGCTGCCCTTAGATTCTGCAAGGCCATGCAAGCGATGTCCAAGGTGAAGCTTGTTGCTCCGAGATTGTTCTTGTGACAACAGTCTTCGAAACAGAATGCTAGATATCACATCTACGTGTTGACGAGAATGAGTGGCAAACTTTTCTCATTTCCAACAGTCTTGCAATCGATCAACGCAGGAGTCTTCGACGACATGAAGGTTCAACTTGAGATGGTTCCCTCTGTCGCTGAGGCTCGCGGGAAAGGTACTTGACAGCATCAACAAGATGTTTCGAGGAGAGGGCGAGTCGATCATCAAAGGACTGGCTGCTCCTCAAGCTGACAGCACGTGGCTCGAAAAGCTGCCGGACCAACGAAGCCTGTGCGTAGCGAGAACTGAGCATGTTGTGAGATCTTAAATGTTGAGCAGGGGGAAGCGTGGAGCATACCTTGAAGTCGTTGCGGCAAAGTTGAAAAGGAGCAAGGTCAAGAGCAAGCACAGCAAGTTTGTTGGAGAAACAAAGAATGTCTTCATTCTAAACATCGAGCTCATTACTGTGAGCTGTTAAGAGATCATTGCAACATATCCTAACATGTCTGCAGAACTTGGCAGAGGAAGAACGAGAGAAAGAGGAGCAAGAAATGGCACATCCTCCACTTCTGCTGTGGACGGGAAATTTTGCGAATTTTACCTCGTACCTTCCCTTCCGAATCGAGAGAGTAGCGGACGGCGGTCACAAGAAGCTCATGCTCGAGTTCCGAGTAGCGCAGGGATTGAAATCCTTCATGCTGTCAGCAGGAGCAAACTTTACAGATTTGCTCCTCCTCGCTGATCAGAAAGAAGACAATGCGACAGTGAGAGTGTTGGAGACAAGAGAAGCGAAAGCCGAGATGGCTCTGCCTGACGTCAAAGGAAAGTCGTCGAGGGCCTCTTGCATCGCAGAAGTTCGTGAGCTGTACAGAAGGGCTGAAGTGATAGCAAAGATAAAGTCATGAGAAATTGTTCCAAGCTGGGAGATCTGTCAAGCATATGGCAGCAGGAGACCATAGACATCATTGATGTCTGACTTGCTGTCTTCATGACAATCAACATTGTCTTCTTCATCATCATCGTCTTCATGTCCTCCTCCTCCTGTTAACTTCTCTGGTTTGTCGTTCAATGCAGTAAAATATCACAGAAGTTCTTCTTCGCCCGAACTCTCCGCGTTCCAACTGTTCCTATGTAGTTGAGTCGGAGATCGATAAGAGATAGACTGACGCAATCAGCGATCTTGCTCAGCATGGCCTTAGCTCCCTCCATCCCTATCATGTTCACCGTCAAGTCCAGCAGCTGCAAGGCTGTGCAGTTTGTCATCGCAGTGGCGATGGCCCTCGCTCCTTCATCGTTGATAGTGTTCTGCGACAAGTTGAGCTCCGTCAGCTGCTGGCAGTGGATGAGAGCAGACGCCAGCGACGTGACCCCTTCCTGTCCCAGCATGTTCCCCTTCAAGTTGAGGCAGCCCAGCCGGTGCGAAGACGAGCCGAACAAGGGGAGGGCACCAGACTTGCCGAGCATGTTGTTCGCTAGGAGAAGGTGAGAGAGAGAGGAGGAGAGCAGGTGGTCTGCGATGGCTGTACATCCTTCAAGTCCCACACGATTGTGAGAGAGGTCGAGCAGGTGAAGTTGAGGACAGGAGGAGAGCGAGTATGCGATGTCCTCTGCTCCCTTCACCCCGACGTTGTTCGCCGGGGTCGACAGGGACGTCAAAGTTGAGGAACGCGACAGCGATCGACAGATGGTGATGACGCCAGCATCCCCGAGGTTGTTGGAGCCAATGGCAAGGCACCGGAGGAGTTTGAACGATGACAGGGATAGAGCAAACTGCTGGAAGCCCTCTCCTCCTCTCATCTCACAGCCGCTCACGTCCAATTCGATGAGCTGACTACACTGGGCGATACAGAAGGAGAACCTTTGCAAGCTCATGTCCACCTTCAGGTGATTGCAGGAGAAGTCCAGAGATTCCAATTTGTTCCCTTCCGACATCAAGAATGCCAAGTTGTCGATGCCAGAGACGCCAAAGCTGTTTGCTCGCAGTGAGAGGGTGCGCAGCTGCGTGAGGGAGAGGGAGGATGAGGAGGAGGCGAAGGAGGAGGATAAGGAGAGGAAAGCAAGGCCGTGCTGGCCAATGCGATTCTGCGCTAGATCGATCTCCCTCATGCTGTCCACCTTAAGAAGAGCTTCGGACAGGACGGCAAACCCGGACGGACGGAGTAAAGAGTAGCTCAGATTCAGATGACTCAGCTTCCTCAGGCTTGGCAGACTTGCTGCAAGCGCCACTACCCCCTGCTCTCCTATCTCATTCCCCGCAAGATC